ATGGAACTGACGCAGAAAAAGCCTTTTTCAAATAAATTCATGGTCATTTTTAGTTGAAAAGAAACTCTCGTTATATCGGTGGGACCCCTTTATTTGGGGCGGTTTCTCTTTACAGGGAGACGCTTCCTTGACACGGTAGAGAATTTTCTATGAAGTAATCCTTATGTGAATTCGTTTGGGAAGACTGCATACTTTCATACTGGAAATCACAATGAAAAGGTTATAATGGATGGTATTAAGTGATTACTTGTTGTAAAGGTTCTTCAGGTGGTTACAATGATGATGACATTAAGTGATTGCTTATAATAAAGATTTGTTGGATCATTTTGGATCATAGGGCTTGAACTTACCGATTTGCTTTGAACTTTCTCAACAAATTATTTTCAGATTCGGCACGAGGTATTTTTATCCAAGTAGTGGATTCCGTATGTGCAATGTATGTTAAGCATGGCCTAATTCATCGAGACATCAAGGTAAACGTTTACTTTAGGCAGAGTTAAACATCTTTGTTTATTTGTTTGCCGGTGTAGCAGCTATCAAAAGCTGTATAGCCGATATTCAAACTCTTCCAACGCAATAGCTGTGAAGAACCAACAGAATTCATATTTTTCATTCGTTTTCAATTTAAGGACGAAAATTTGATTGTGAATATGATGAACGGCGAAGTGAAACTCGTAGATTTTGGAGCGACAGCTTCCGCGGAGAAAGCGATGAAGAAGGAGTTCCAAGGTGAGCTTGAAAGATTAGGGGATGAAGTATTCGAATTTTCTTACTACCTGGAGATGAAATCTACAGCATGAATCTGAATTTTGACTTGACAGTGATCGTTGGAGTTAGGCTAATCGACTAGGTGATTGAATACTACATGAGACTTTCCTTTCCTCCGGGAGCACTTAGTTATTACTTGGATGCAGTGGACAAGTCAAGCTCGCCGACTTCTTTGCCTTCCTTATGTGACTTCTACACATCTTTAGAAGGAGGGAATTGATTTTCCACTGTGATAGGAGTGCGAGTACAGAGAAAATAGGTAAATAATAGTAATAGTTTCGACGTCGGTCAGGCCCGCTGTGATGTGTTGGGCTAACACATTCAACTTCTATTCGGAATAGTCGAAGATTCGAATGTCGGTTCTCCCTATGAGGTTTCGTCTCGTATTTTATCCATGACACCTTCTACCTCGATTATTTCCAGGTACGCGATCGTACTGCCCACCAGAATGGTTCCGCCAACTGCAGTATCTGCCGTTGGAGGCGACTAGTTGGTCATTAGGTGTACTGCTATTCATTTTGGTCACGGGACAGCTGCCATTCAAGAATGAGATCCAAATCTGCTTAGGACGA